AATAAAAAATGGGTCTTGCCGCCGTGCATCATGAACGAAAAACGCCCAAAGGTCTCACACCGCTGTCCCCGAAAATCGCTGGAGAGGAAATTAGTGTTAAAACACTCGCGTGCAGGAATAAAATAACATTTTTACACAGAAAGATCAATACACGCATGAAAGCACTAACCTCAATCCATGAAAAAGCCTAAATGCTTCAACCCAATCGGAGAGATAGATTCAGAATCAAAAATGGGTTTCGTCGCCATTGTTGTCGCTGCTCACCGTGACCAAAAAACACCGAAAGGTCTCATACCACCGTTTCCAGAAATCGCTAGAGGAAAACCCTAGAGGAAAACAATGGAAAAACACTTGCATGTACGAAAAAGGCGAAGGTGTTGGGGGGAATAAAACAATTTTTTTTTACGTCGGGGCAAAAGAGGTCTGACGTAAAAATTAAAATCTACGTCAGACTGTACTTCATATCCGACGTAGATTTTAGTTTTAGCGTCGGACCCCCTTTGGTCCGACGTAAAAAAGTTTAGATTCCACTGCGTATTTTTTACGTTGGGTAATTTTATAATTGACGAGAAAACGCTAACATAAAAGACTAATTTTTCACTAGTGCAAATTAGATGTTATCCTTGGTCTACAATCTTGGGATAACTATACTTAGTGGTCCATTTAAATATATTTTTTTTGGAAGCCTACACATCTTAACAAAAAATAGTTAAGCCTAATATTCTAGAGAGTGCCTTAATATTTAAAAAAAATCGATTTAAGGTAATCATCCTAAAAGACGCTTTAATTTCTAAGTTAAAGTAACACTGATTTAGGAGTAACGGTGAAGGGGAGAAGATTATATTCTGGCATGACAAGTGGTTGAGGGATGAATCTATATGGCTGAATCACACCCGAGGTTGTTCTTAATCTCTAATCAGAAGCAGAATGTCAAAAGCGCTATGGGAAGGTGGGTTAGGGATAATTGGTGTTGGAATTTTCAGCGGAGAAGGAACATGTTTGAATGGGAGAGAGCAGAATGACTAGAAGTAGAAAGTCGTATCCAGAACATAGGTCTGAGAATGGGAAACTTAGATTGTTGGGAGTGGATAGTGGGAGATGATAAAATTTACACAGTCAAATCAGCGTACAAGGTCTTACACTACCAGAAGTATGGGTCTGAACAACACTCTTTGATGACTTCAATTTGGAAGCTAAATATCTCTCTTAAGGGGGCTATAGTAGTATGGCGAATTTTCATGAATAGCCTCGCAACATGTGATAATCTGCTTCAGAGGAACATCATACTGCCTGAAGTGGAGTGTATCTGCAAATTCTGTAATGAAGAAACAGAGTCTACATCCCATGTATTGTTTACTAGTAAAGTCTCAGACTGGCTGTGGAAGAAGTGCTATAACTGGGCTTCCGTCTCAACAGTGCTCCTCGCTCTTCTGACTCAACATATTGGATAACTTCCTTATTCTAACCTATCTGCGGCTATATCAAAGAGGTGGAGAGTTGTCTGGTGTGCTATTGTTTGGCTGCTTTGGGGAAAGAGAAATAATTGTAGATTTAAAAGTCAAACTTGTGATATCCAATAGTTGTATGTGGAGACGCAACGTACGATTTGGTCTTAGTTACGTATGGAGAAGAATTTTAAGTATACTTATATGCAATGGGTTGTTAACCCGGGTGCATGCATTAGTAACTAAAGTGCTAGAAAAATGGATTGAAAAAGTAATGGTCAGATGTTGAAAATATGGGAAAATTAGGTGATGCTCGAGTGATGTGGCTGAGTCTCTCTTATATAGTTGCAGGTATGAGGTGTAAGTATAAGGTTGTTACCTATTTTATCAATCTCCCCATAGTTGTAAAGGGATTGAGAATTGGGGCAAGAGGGGGAGGGGGTACTTTTGTTATGGGGATGGTACATATATTAGCAATTCGATGAGAAATAAAGGATAAATGGATGCTGATGTCAAAGCAGACTTGCTATATAATAGCTATCGGTGTTGAATGACATTGCTTCTAATTGGTATTGATACTATCATGTGCTCTCTTGAATTGGTGACTTACGGATTGTACTAGCTCTTGAAGATTGTTTTTTATGATCTTAGTATTAATGCTTAAATACTATGTAATTCTCTACTCTATAGGATGAGTTATACATTATTGTAAATGGGTTGATACCCCTAGTATCAATTATAATATAATTCCTTTGCTGTCCAAAACAAAAAAAATTGTTTTATTATTTGACTTAGGACAAAAGATCTACCTAGAACCTTGTTCACCTATTTGATCTCATTTTCTCCCAAAAATGTTATTTCTTTGTATTCCCCGGTTCCTCTCAATGGCGTTCTTTATGTTCACGTACAAATTATACAAATAAAAAATAAAGTTGTAATGAGATAAAAAAAAATTAATAGAAGCTAGTATTAGAAATTGCTTTCTGCAACAACATATACCAAATTACCAATTATGTTTTAAAAAATACAAAATTTCAAAAATTACTTTCTGAAATCGATATATGTTTCGAAAATTAAACTTTGATAATATTAAAAATAAATCGATATTAAATGTACCTAAATGAGAGAGGTTACTCGTGTTTCGAAGAATATTGAATGCACACTAATTTAAATGTGAGACCTCCTCCCCTCTTCTTTTTTCAACACTTCTACAAGTCGAAAGTTAGGACTGAAATGTTAGCACCTTAAAACCTATAATAGACAAAGTCAGCGACGTATACCATATGCATGTAGAAGAAAACGTACAATAATAGTATAAGTTCAAACATGCAATCTTCTAATATTATTTTAAAACGCTTTAATTACGTACGGACAATTTTCTCTTCTGAATTATATTCAATTCAATCAATCATGAACTTATTAAACTTAATTTATATGCGAAATCACAAATAGTTTTCTCTCAAGTTTTGTTTTATAAATACCTAATTAAAAGAAAATTGACTTGTAATAATAAATAAAAATTGTCATTAAAAATAAAAATTTGTAAATAAATGTCTATGTTATATTTATTCATAAACAATTTATTCGTCTGTTATGCGAGTTATACGATAATGATTTTTTAAATTTTACGCATAATAAATACAAATAATTAAGTTTTATAAATAAAACTATTTTTTTTTCGTTTTATCCATAGTCATTATCATGTATGTAAGAATAAGTTATTTTCCTTATAGTATCAATTTCTTCTTTTTATAAGCAAACGCACTCAATTTAAAAATCTCTTATTAGACATACCAACAACCAAACATATTATTAAGACTGAAAGAACCAGCTCACATGCACTCCCCCGGTGGCGATTCTTGGATACTATTCGTAATCAGTGCGGTGAGTCATGAAATTTTGAAAATATTGGAAATGTCTCTAATAACATATACGATCATTTATTATTCCAATGTTATCGAAATGAAACATAGTAAAAAAAAAAAAAAAAAATATGCTTTCCTGAATAGAGGTATGACAAGGATTTTTGAAAGCACTCTAAATTTGATTTGATAACGTGTGTAATGAGGATTTGTTCGAAGTTGGAAGTTTGAATGAATTATCCGGGAAAAGGAAAATGAGAAGGAAGTGGTACAGCATATAAAGACGAAATGAGATGAGTGGGTTTGATGGTCACGGACGAGTGAAGAAGGCAAATGACATGGGGTGCGACAAAAGTGTCACAATATCTTTACTAATAATTACAATAACGAACATTGCAGAGACTCCTGTTTCTGTTTGATGTTGAGCACTGTATATATGCTCATTAACGCCATCACCAAATGAATAATGACGTGAGACCTAACCCTAACCAGCATCCACTGCATGCTACCATGCAAACAGTTCAGAGAGAGAGTTAATTCACTCTATAAGGGTATTAATTTCAAAGCCAGTCAACATGTACATATATATATGGTCAGGAATATTTAAAGGGTCGTTGTTATTTGTTAACCTAAGTAAGGAATGTCATCAAAAGCACATGAAATTCTGCAGTGCCTGTAGTGGTAGTGTTGGTAATGGAGTTAGTAGAAAAAATTAATATATATATAACTTTTATAATTAAATATAGCTAGGTTGAGTGACCACACAGGCTGAATTCTTTAATTGCTTTTCATGTGCTAAAAATTAATTTCTTACTTGAATTGTATCAAAGCACATGCTTTCAACCAACAAAGATTAGTTAAGTAGCGAGTTAATTAACTCACAAAGATGTGAGTTTAGTCAAGTAATTAAGGACGTTTTTGCTAAATAAGTTGTAAATATTTCTATAATTTTTTTTTAAAGTTTTGAGACTTGTTCTGTCCTAATTAGTCTTTGAGATCTAATTCATCTAATTTTTTCTATGACAAAAGAAAAAGAAAATTCAATTTCAAAAGGACAAGATAAAACTTAATGTAAAATCACTTTTTGTTTCTATCTTATAATTTTCATTTCATTTCATTTATTTATTTCATCATTTCTTATATTTTCATCTTTTTCTTTCTTATTTCTTCTTTTAATCTCTCTCTTCTTTATACGCATATACTCTATATATAAAATAAGGTGTGTATTTATCATTATTCTTTTAAAATTAAAATGTTTGACATTAGATAAATAATATTCTATATACGTACAAAAATCGATAATTATGTTTTACATAGATTTGTATGCTGTCACGTTTATACGACTGTTTGTTATCTCTTCCACTACTATTTTAATAACGTTTTCTTGAAAAGTACGGAATTAGGTATGCAATACAAAACTCCTTTTGCTTAATTTTTAAGTTTGTGTAGCATCAGTCAGAATCATATGTATCTTATAGAAAATACTCACCACAAAAATAAAAATAAAAAATGTCTTGTACATTATAGAAAACAATGATGAAATCGAAAGGAAATGAGGCTTTTGTCGCTTGCATTGGATTATAGCCAAGATGTGAAGATTCTGAGCAAGAGAGTCAGCATCCTCGTCTGTTGAGCATTGTACAAAACCTGGCTGGCATTACCGTATTCTTTTTTTCTGTCACAATAATTAAACTTTATATCTCATGAAATTCAATGAAACAGTAAACTTATTAGATGTCTATCACTGTCAAAGTGAGAGTGAAGTAGAAAAAGGAGGGGGGATGTTCAAGAAAAACACAAGGATTGCAATTTTTAGAACTGAAACCATAATTAATATACCAATTAGGCTTCTTTTGAGGAAAAGATAATAAAATAAAGGGAAGAACAGTTATAAGCAAGTTCATACACACGTAACAGGCATTTTCTTTCATTCTCCCTAATCTTATAGCAGCGTTGACTTTCCAAAATGAAGATTTGACTGCGGTGACTTTAGGTCAGGGTCCAAATAACTCATGACACGCTGTTGCTGTTGTTGCTGTTCTCTTTGTGAAAATCCACCACTCATGTTTCTCACCATTCCTCCTACGCCCAAAAAGTCTAAGGTCAACTTATCAGAATCTCCAAAGTTTACATTGAGACTATGGTGCAACTTATTATTGGACTCATCCACATTGTGAAAACCATAAAGGTTGCTTTCGTTCCCTTGCATGTTCCCAAACAAGGACGTGTGTCCGTTGGAAATATTAGAGTTCATCAACCCATGAAGATTGTGGTGGTGTTCATTTTCAGCTTTGGAACCATTGCTATTTGAGGAGCTACAAATTCCCCTAAGTAAAGAAGAACCATTGTTGGTGGTTGTGGTTGAACCCATTTGAGCAGCTTTTTGAAGCATCGCAGTGGCAGACATAAGAGGCGATGACACGTTTTCTATTGAATTGTCAAAGAGTGAAGAAAAACTCGAACCAACATGATCACTTACTGCTTGGTTGTTATTAACATAGAGTGGTGTTGTTGTTGTTGTTCCTTGGTCACTTCCACTTATGTTGTTGAATTGATCAGGGATTATGGTGGTGCTATTGCTACTTGGGAAGAAACTGAGGTTGAAAAGATTGGAAGGAGCAGCTACTGATGAAGAATCGGAGTTGTTGTTGTTGTTGTTGCCTTGAAGATCAGGGAATTGCATTAGGCCATGTAGTTGCTTGCTTGAGAATGGTTCATTATGATGTGGTTGGTGTTCTTCAAATGCATGATTTGTGTTGTCATTCATGAAGAAAGGTGAGGAAGTAGGCATTGATTGTGGCGAGTGTCCAAATGAAGAGTGGTTTAGAGAAGGGATAAAGTGCTCAAACTTTGTTGCTGCACCAAGGCGCAAAATGCTGTTCGTGGCTGTTTGGTTCTGGTTTTGACCTTGGGAAAGTTGGGAACCCACTTGGGATAGGCTTAAACTAGTGTGGTTTGTGGAAAACAAATGAGTCCCCAAAGGGTTTAAGCCACTGGGGTATCTTGCACTCTCTTGTGCTAGAGCATCACAAAAGGCCCTATGAGTGATGAAACTGTCACGCCTGCATCAAAAATATCGGAATAAATAAAAGTATATGTAAATTAACCTCAAGTTACATAAGCACAAATATTGATTACAGAAATTGACATTAGCCAGACAAATAATAGAAAGGTGAATTTATTAAGTCCAGTATCAAAAGCTCCAAGACTTAAAATTATTACAAGTAAGAATAAAATATGATAATCAAAATGTTCCTAATTAACAAGTTCATTCTTAAAAAAAATAAATAAATAAATAAAAAGGTTAACAACCTAACGACGACTATGCCACCACCCCATCAAGACCTAATATTCTAAAAGAAAACCATATATTTATTTTTATAACGTATATAGTTAACCTAACGACCGTCCAACCTAACGAATTTGGAACTACAGAAGTTCAAGATACATTAATTATTTAACCAACCAAATCCAAAGGTATAGTCGAATGTTACGTAAAAAAATATTATTCATAACATAATGGGAAATATATTTTCTTTGTAACTCGAACTGCAATAAAAAGAAATAGAGGGCCCAGGGGATAATTATGCCAAAATATGATACACAGCGTAAATCCAAATCGAACTGCCACTTTAAGGTCTCTCTTTGATCAATAAACGAGAATTATTTGCAACTTTGATGAAAGTGAATTATCATAAGCCCAAATATGGGGCCAGCTCAATAAATGCAAACAACCTCAAAACTTGTCTATTTTCTACAATGAGAATTCGTTTAAAGGCAATGGTACCATCAAAGATTGGCCAAAAATTCTCAGAAAATCTGTTAAAAGTGTAAGCAATTAATGCTAGAAATTTGTTTCAGTAATTACATGAATAAATAGTGGTGATAATTATGCACCTCGGATCCATCGCTACAAAATAACTGAAGTATTTATATTTGAACCAGTAAATAGCCAAGGCGAAAGAGAACAAAAGCCAGCATCTCCAACTCATGTGAGAACAAACCCAGTATCACTATGCCTGTTCCCTTTACAATGTAGCTTAACTACACGTGAATGGGAATAAGGGCGAGGGCACTGTTCCCTAGGACCAAAGTTTAACTTGTTTGTTTTTTCTTTTCAAAACATTATTTCAATTTTCGTACTCCATTTCAAAACAGTGTACTCACGTGCGACCAGTCTCCTGCCACACCTCCACTAACATCCAGACACAAACTAACAGGGAAATGGAGAAAGCTCTTTTATAAATTTAACTTCAGTTTGGAGTATATATATAACATATTCTTAAGCTTAATTACAAGCTAGATTTAACTTAATGCCATGTTTGGTACAACCTTTTTTTTTTTTTTTTTTGAGAAATAATCACTTTTATTTTAAATTTCTATCCAGAAAACTAATGAAAAACAATTATTTCTCTAAAATAAGCTAAATTAGAAACACACACTTAATTGGTTAATTTACATTCAGAAATGCTTATGAAAAAATGCATCAGGCAGCTTAAAAGCTTTTACTAGGGTAAAACAATGAAAACCACCAAACCATAAGAAACCCTAATTTTTAAAAATCTGGAGGATGGCATATATATAAACTTGGTGAAGAATATATAAAGTTGATGGTGCAGGACCAGCTAGGTGGTAACTAATTAAGACAAAAGGGGTTGTTAGTTACCTAGAGAAGAGAGTGCCACAGTCACATCTGTATTCTCTAGTGCCACAAGTCTTAGAATGTGCCTTCCAATCAGATTGAACAGCGTATTTCTTTGAGCACTTTTCACACTTCCACTTCTTCTCACCGTGCTTGCGAGAGTAGTGCTTCTTGATCCCAGTGAGGTCTCCCAAAGCCCTTGAAGGATCATGATGGACGCAGGTGGGCTCGGGACAAAGATAAACCTTTCTTTTTGGCTCTTTTGTACTCTTCTGCTTCAGCTTCCAAGGCAGGTTGTGTCCTCTTCTGTGAAGCTGTAGGTTTTGCTCTCTTTGGAACCCTTTATTGCACACCTCACATATAAACCTGTTTGTTGCCATTAGGGTCTTGGGAGATAGCTCTATCACCTCCGCATCTGGATCTTTTGCCCCATGAAAATGACAAACAACAAATTATTAAAAAACTCTTTGCTTGCTCAAATTGAATATGCACAAGGAACGCAAGAACTAGTCTTTCTTTTTTAACCTTCTTTTAAACCACGTAAGCATTTTAATAGTAATCAAAGGATAAAAAAAACATTAAAAAAATTTAAACTAGAAGTCTCATGCTTTTGAGAAACTTGGAGGAAACTAATCTATCCAACCATTAATTTAACCTCTCTTCAGCAAATTAAAGAAGTCGACAGCCCTAACTCATATATATTGATGACTTAGGGTTTTTCTGAGTTTGTTCTCAAGAAAAGGCAAAAAAATTAAAAATTTGCAAAGGGTGTGTATGTGTGTGTGTGTTTTAAGCAATCAAATTCAACTGAGCTAAGCTACTTGCTTGGTGTTCCAGGTTGATTCCTTCGTTTCTTTTGAGGCACTGAGTTTGGAGCAACAGTGGAGAGTTGATGGTGTGAACTTGTCTGACTTAAGCTTTCTTCTCTGATTCCAAAGAATGGAGTGGATGAGGAAGCTTCCGCCATAATTGTTGTGCAAATCTGGAACTAATTGCTGAACCAAAAGTGAAACCTATTACATGTTCGAATATATCCTTCTGCTGATAAAAAAAAAAATCAATTGCATGTTTCCTTGTCTCTCAGAAAGAATAAACAAAACAGAATTAAAGGGAAAAAGAAATTAGAAGAGAATGAATGAAGAAAGAAGGACCTGAAGTATGTTTGAATTTTTCCCTGCTTTCTTGTCGGTCAGAAAAAAAAAACCTCAGAGATTAAAACACAAAAGATACAAAGAGGAAAGTATCTAAGGAGACAGAAGCAATCAGGAGACGAAGAGAAGAAAACAATTCAATCTTCTGGCTATTGTTTTCTTATGCATAAAATTGAGCTACTTCTAGTCCCTCTTGTTATTTCTCAATCATTTGGTGTCATGAAGACAGAAAAATAATAAAAGTAAAAGTTAATAACATGCTAGCTAGATTGTCCACCCTAAGGCATATATAAATGAAGTTGTTGTTTTTCCCTATGGTTTGTAAGGGAAATTAAATAACCAAGGGTGGTAATTTATGTCACTGTTATACTGCTCTTGCACGGGCTACTGTGTCCTTAGCAGATGATGGTTTGGGGCCACCGACCCCTTAGGCCTCACCCTCACTCACCTTATCTCTCCTCTTATTTCGTATCTTTTTATCAACAACTAGACAACTTTCTTCATTTTTTAGCCCACAGCTAGGTTTATTTATTATTAATATGATTCTCACGGTACATTCTTTTCGATATTATTTTAATGGGAATACATCTTTGCCCATTATCCAATTAAATATGGATTGCTATGTAATAGAAAATCGTTAATTTTAATTAAAATAAGTATATTAAAAATCGTTTAAAATAGTTTTAATGTAGAAGTCTTTATATAGTCATTTAAGCAGAAACGTCTATTACATCAGTTATATAATCTGATCATTGTCATTATTGCCTATGCATTAGGTGCCAAATATTTTTCATTTGATGTAAAATTCTAATACAAGTTTAACTAGATTTTACTTTCGATAAAATTTGACTAAATATATCATAAAAGGATTAGGTCGAACACAAGTTAGACCGAACTCCAGAACAATTAATAATATAAAAAGTAACATTATATTTAAAGTCATGATTAGATGGAATTTTTCGTACAAAAAAGTGATTTGTACCTTCGTGAATTGTTTTTAAGAAATAATAAATAATAAAAATTATATAATAGGAAATGATACAGATAATTATGGAATAAAATTTATATAAAAAATGAAAATTTGTAATTTTTAAATATATAATTATAAAAAAAATAGAAATAATCTATTTTTTATTAATAGTACAGATTATTTACATGAACTTTGTTGTTATGACTAGAGAAAGTAAGGATTTAAAAATTGTTTATTGAAGATTATTTTTTGTGAAAAAAACCACTTTCAAAATATTTTAATTTATTTGGAAAAATCTTTTAAAATAATAGAATATGGAAATAATTTGTTTTTAAATTATTTTCCCCAAAAAGTTTAGGAATAGATTTTTAATATTATTGATATCTATGGTCACAGGTAAGGGAGAAAGTAGTGTAAAAAATAAAAATTTCAAGTTATGTTCTCGTATATTTTATTGATAATCAATATTACGTTGATTTGAGTAATATTAAGTTTTATTCTAATAAAAAGGTATCCAATTCAAGTTTTATGAGTAGAAAAATAATATAATATTAAAATGAGAGTATTCATTAAATGTGATAAGTAAATATCAAATTTAAGTTTTATGAATAGAAAAAAATATTAAAATAAGAGAATTCATTATATGTGATAAACCAATTTTTCTCACAAATATTAATTCTTGACAAAACTAGTTCACACATAATATGATGATAATTATTTTTTGGATGGGATATATTTAATCTATTTTATTATATATTTTAGGCTAAATTGTGAATTTTATCACCGATATAGTATGATTTCACAAATTTTATTATTAAACATTCAATTTTGTATGTTTTGTCACTTGTTTTTTAAAATTTGATATATTTTGTCATCTCATTAATTAATTATAAGATGTTAATTGTTTGTTAATGTGATATATTAATTATCAATGTAAATTAGTAATTTGATATATAAGTGATGACATTACATAATGAATCACATTAACGTGCAGTATATCATGTTAATAATTAAGTAGTAACATAATAAAATGTGTAAAATTTTATAAATTAAATGAAATTAAAAATGTACGATGGATGACAAAATTCGTAAAATTGTATAATATAAATAACAAAGAGTACAATTAATCCTATATATTTTCTTAAAAAAAAAATATGTTTACGTCATATCAACACCGTAAATAATCCTTTCAAAGTAAAAAATATTTTCTAATTAAACGAAAAACAACTTTTAACGATAAGCTTATATCATTGTGTAATTTTCACTTTAATTTATGTATATTTCACACAAAGCTACTGTGCACCACCTCCATTAGTTATCTAGCTACAATGTACACTTCTATTAACCAATAGATTAATCTAGGGGTGAGCATAAAACCAAGACCCGAATCGAACTCTTTTGGATGGGTTCGGGCGGGTTTTACGAGTAAATCGAGTTAAAATTTTGATTTTATATGAGTTATATTGGACGGGTTCGGTTTTAAATTTTTAAACTCGCTAAAAACTGAACTCAATCGAAAATGAGATAAATTTAGATTTTTATTACTTTTGTATAACTAAACAATAATAGTCCAAAATCAAAAGTCTTTATTTCAAGTATAATATAGTCATCAATTTGTAACTTTTTTTTTTCTTTTTCTCATAACCTAGATATTTCTTTTGTCCTCTCGATCTTTTCTCATTCAATTTCTCAACACACTAGTCTACTTTTAGATTTTTCTTTTTGTTTCTTTTTTTATCTTTGTTTTCCATCTTCCTATCTCCATTGAGTACAACTTGTGCGACAGTGGTTTCTTATAGATTTTGTAATCTAACTTTAGATTTCTTTTATATGTAACAACTATGGATTTTGTTATCTTTTGTTTTTGCTTTTTTAGTTTGTAAATGTTTCATTTACGAATCTACTTACATCATCTATTGTTACCTTCATTCTATTTTTGTACACTGTTTTAAAAATATTTTTTTACCGTTTTAAGCTTCACCTTCGTTAAAATAACTTGGTCCACAAAAAATCTCACTCGATTGTACCCACCTGCCCAAATCTGAATCTGTTGCAACCCGAACCACCTCAAACCGAAAACTCAGTCAATCGAATATGAGTCACATTTTTTCAAAGTCAATTTACAACGGGTTAAACATTTTTCACCCGAGCCTGCCCGCTGCCCACTCCTAGATTAATCTAACCTTTGCGATTATATTTTTGTCCTTCCACACTAGATTATTCCTCACTCAACTTTTTCCACAGCGCATCCTTTCGTTTTTTTAACAGTCTCCACTCTCCACCACCACTCCTTTGCCGTATCATTTTCTTTTGTTGTCAAAAATTAAAATAAAAAACTTAAAACTTTTGCAAGTGGTTGACAAAGTTATCATTTTGTTAAATGTTTAAATTTTTATATATATGTGTTAAAAAGGGATGTCGAAAAAATTTTATATAAAAAATTTAAAATTTTAAATAAGTTCTTAAATTTAATTACTTAACTTCATGTTCTAAATTAAATTTTAACGATTTAATTGTTAAATTTAAAAAATTTAAAAATTATTAAATACTTTATTTAAATTGATAAATAATTATAAAAATATTTTATATATTGATTTGAATCTATATAAAGGAGTATCCATCATATGATTTTCAAATTTTTAAAAATTTTGTACACATGATTTATGCATCGTTGAATTATTGAAATTTGATGTAGAACATAAATTATTAAGAAAAGGAAGTCTCTCTCTCTCTTTATATATATATATATATATATGATCCGTTGAAGCTATGGTGACAAATTAGTTAACTTACACATTCAATATTTTTTTATAAAATGCAAATTCAATCGATCTTATCATTGTATTTAACTTGTACATGTAAGTATTTATTATTAGATAACGTATTTAGAAGGGTCTAAATTATTTGAAATTTAATATGCATAATAACGATTGTAATATCATTAAATACAATGATTGGATCAATTAAATATGCATTCCTATAAAAGAAATCACTAAATATATCATTTAATTCACTAATTTGACATCATGGTGTCAACAAATATTGACATATATGTGTTATATAATTGATACACATATAAGTACAATACTAATTGATTTAATAAATATTAATAATTTTTTAAATAAATATAGAAGCATCTCAACTCTACTAATATATATAATATTAATTATGTCACATTATTTATTGATTTTTTGATTAATATAATTATCAATTTACACATTTAAAATTTCATTTAATAACACCTTTTAAATTCAAAAATTAAAGTGAATATTTATGCAAATAAATTTTATTTGCGTACAAAGATTTTCTTACATATATGTTGGAAAATATCAATGAATTGATAATAATAGATGATAAAGGTTGATAATTATGTTTGGTTAAAAAGGAAAAGAAGTAAAAGAAAAATATTTTAATAGAATAAAGGAAAATGAAAAGTAGGTCCTTAGATTTAAATGAAAGAAGCGGTGGCAACCGGCGAGAATAGCCTCCTTGTTAATTTGATTAGTAAAGTTGTGAAAGGATCGGAATTAATAAATAATAATAATTAAAATCTTTCATTCATATATATATATAATTTTGGCCAAGATTTGTTGGCATTACATCTTTAATAATTTATTATAGAATCCAAATTTCAACCGATTCAACTGTTGTATTTTACAATATTACATTTGTAATTATACATATAAAATTTTAAATAATTTGAACTCTCTTAAATGTATTATATAATAATATCTATTTACATGCATTTTAATTATCATTTTATACATTAAAATAAAATGATATAATAAATTATTAAATAATTTTATAATTATATATAATTTTGTATATTTGATCTAATTAATAATATATTACCAATACAACAATTAAATCATCGATTAAATTTATATTTTATAAAAAATTATTAAATATGTCTTTTCACTAATTTGACTATTGTCTCAATGACTCTTTATCTATTAAAATTTTTTAATTATTGAATATTTAAATATTAAGTACATGATCTTGTAAATTAAATTTTAAATAAGTCAAAATTATTTAAAATATGTAATTTTATAATTAATATTTAATCATATTTTAAAAATATAATGTTAAATTAAATTTATTTAACGAACTATCGAACAATTTTAAAATTTTATAAAACATATATACATTGATCTATTGATTAATAAAATCAAATCAAAGTTTTTTACTTGTCTTAAAACATCTGTAAATGATAAATTTGCAGTAGAGTTATTTAACTCAATTTTTGTGTCATACTAAGATCAAAAATAAAAGGAAAAATTGTGGTCAGTTGATTATTTTAAAAAATTATGTAGATTTTTTTAATCTTAACTATTCAAATAAGATATAATGATATATGGTAATTATAATTTTCACATAATAAGAAGTGTTTTTATTTGATACTCTTTTTTCCTCCCTCTATATATTTAACATATATCTA